GACAGTGATTTCACATTTCTTGTTTGTATGAAGGCTAAATACCAATAAAAGGTGAACATTTATTTATTTGCGCCATTCCCTAAAATATTATATAGTTTTATAGGAGTAGGTTTCATAGAGTCGGCAAATTAATTTTTCATAAGTTTGTAGGTACAGACATCTATTGTGGCCGTTCTTGGCTGTTTTTATGAGGCTTTTTTAATAGTGTTCATATCGATATCGGAATTGTATCGTATCGACCGAAATTAAGAAATATATCATGATATAAATTTTGGCCATATCGTCCAGCCCTATATTTAGTCTTTTGCCTCCAAAATGTTTGTACTTCGCGGCAAGAAACCTGATTCGCTGTCAAGGCAACCAGTATTGAGAACGCCCACTAGCAACCTCATCGCCAGCCCCTGGCGACATGTAGCGACAAAAGTCGCTGCTAGTGTGAACGGGGCTTAATCCTCACGACGCCAGTCCACCAATGAATGTCTTGTGAAGTGAAAAGCTGCATATTTGTAATAAACAATAACAGCTAAAAAGCTTTTTGTGTGTAATGTTGTGAATTACTGTTAATTTTATCAAGTTTTAACTCATTCTGACGGCACCCATTCACTGCAGAGGATCTATTGGTCGGCAAGTGATGTAATTCCAAAATTCTCCAAATCTGTTCTAATGAAGAAACAAACCAATCTACATCTTGGATAGCCTTAGATGAGTAAAATTGTCTAAACTATTCCTTTTAGTATCATAGTAATTCTAAGATATCATGTGAATATTGATGCGTTTGTTTCCTCTGGTCCACTCCAAGATGCTTGTGCAACACCAGCTCAGTTCTTCTTTTTGTTCTCATCAAGAACAGCAGGACAGAAGGTCTTAGCAATGTCACTTAGATTGATTTTCTTGAAGAATTGGCCCTGAGGAGTGTTTGGCTATGCAAGCAGCAATAGTGTGTTCAATTAAAAGTGTGTCTGTGGAATATTGAGGTCATTGTTTATAAGGATGCATCCCTTCAAGTCGGCATCTACAAACAAACCACCTGCTTGGTGTGGTTAATGTGGCCCGCGACACAGACAGGCCTTGAGTGTTCCGTGATGATGCAATACGGATTCATGCGCTGTCACTCCATGGGCCCGATGGCTCTGTTACAGTCTGGAGGGAGAGAAAAACTGATTGGTTAGGCGTGTGTCATGAGCACATTTGCAGCAGTGAATCATTGTGGATCTGCTCCCACACAAGCCTGCGTCCATATGGCCATAAGTAACCACAGAAACTAGCTCCATCGTTGTGCCTACTTGTACTGCAACAGCACTTCTCTGCAACACCTTCTGCATCTTTTTTTACGCATAGCATTGTTCTGTTTGTCCCTCAGGCTGAGTTTGATGTGGTCCTCTGAACGGCAACTCTGATCTTATTTTTCAGGTTGACTGAGCCGTCTGGGTACCTAACAGATGGCCCCATCAACTACAAGTACAAAACCAAGTGCACCTGGCTGATTGAGGGCTAGTAAGTGTTACTCTGTCCTCTTTTCTCTTTCTCATCAAAGTTTTGTTGTGCCCACACTTCCCTCTTGCATAAGCCCTTTTTAAATACGCTTTAGCAGCCTTTACAAGGGTGTTTTCTTCTGTGTTGGGTTACCAGAAAAGGTTTGGAGGAGCACATTCCGCCTTGCACCCTCATACTTGGCAGAAATGCGTCTGCTGTAATATGTTCTCATTATGGCTTATGCAGCCAGCAACACATTCTTAAGCATTATGTCATCATTTTTGTTTTGCAGCCCAAACGCAGTCCTGAGGTTACGATTTAACCATTTTGCGACCGAATGTAGCTGGGACCACATGTACGTCTATGACGGAGACTCGATTTATGCTCCCTTAGTAGCCGTCTTCAGGTGAGTGTGGGGGTTTTGAACTTTCCGATGCCAAGCACCCCCACAAGTATTATGATTCCCTTTAAGGGACTATTTCCTAAAATAAAAATGAATTTAATTTCAGGCATAAAGACCCATTTATACTATGTGATCGAAATATTAATTGTGATATCAAAGGTTGTTTTAAAAATACTGTAAAAATTAGAATTTTTTTATTGACACTGAACTAATGCAAAAGCCAATATTTAAAATGTTATCTGGAAATGTTTATTTTGTATTCATTTGACAGTGTGTCTGGTTTTCTGTACACTGTCAATTAGAGGTCGACCGATTGATCGGCCGGCCGATTGATCGACCGATTTTTCGCATTTTTTAAATTAATCGGCATCGGCCGATTGTGCTGCAAATTAGGCCGATTTATAGGCATGCACACTGGCGGGCAGCTAAGCGTTGTTGCGGAACTCCCTCTGGCTGCGTGAGACAGAGCAGCTCATGCTCTGCAGGCTGCAGTAGCCACGGCTTGTTCACACAGCCTCAGCTAATGGCAGGGCAAAACAGACCGTTTCGAAAGCGGGATTACATTTTACCCTACTAGAATTGATGCCGGAAAGTTATCATATTCATAAGTGCAACAAGTCATTTGCATGTGAAAGTAGAAACACGTTCAATTCAGACGAAACTTCTGGACTGATTATAATGTGCATGTTAACTTTCCTCATGAATTGTGTCTGTGGGTCCGACAATAGCCTCCACAATGTCATATATTCGCTCGTGGCCAGCACACTTTTAAGCAGTTATGAGCAGCAGGCAGTGCAATATGTGTGAAATCTTTTATTTTTGTTATCACTATGGCCATTTGACTTATTGCAGTGTCCAGTGTTTCCTATACATTGAGTTATTTGTGGGGGCTCATCACAATATCAAAACTGACCGCCACAAATAGATTTTCCAAAAGGCACTGATTATAATGTGCACGTTAACTTTCCTCATGAATTGTGTCTGTGGGTCCGACAATAGCCTCCACAATGTCATATATTCGCTCGTGGCCAGCACACTTTTAAGCAGTTATGAGCAGCAGGCAGTGCAATATGTGTGAAATCTTTTATTTTTGTTATCACTATGGCCATTTGACTTATTGCAGTGTCCAGTGTTTCCTATACATTGAGTTATTTGTGGGGGCTCATCACAATATCAAAACTGACCGCCACAAATAGATTTTCCAAAAGGCTTATACTTCATTGAATAAAATGAGCACTTCACGTTTCAAAATTAAAATGCAGTGCGGGTGTTTTTATATGAATGTATCTTTGAAAAGAACCGACTGTCTTCAGAAAAGCTTCGATGTCATTTTCATTTAATCTTTCCTGTAATGCCTGATAGCACTGTTGCCAACTCTCGCAAGATAAATAAGCAACCGCAGCTTAAAAAACAAGCCCAATATTTTTTTTTATGATTTATTATCATCAATATTTTTTATTATCAATTATTTATTACCAATAAATGAACCTGCAACATATTAAACTGAAACCACTCTTTTATCTGAAAAACTAAAACATGTTATTTTACAAAAATCAGCAAACTGCAACAAAGTGAGAACAAAAAACTCATCTCCAATCACCTGTGAGCAGAATAGGATGGAAAAGGAGAAAAACACAAGAGCTTCAAAGGGGAACTGTAACATGCATAGCCACATATTTATAGCCTACTAAAATATAGGTTATTCGAACCAAATGTATAGGCTATATAGTTTTAGTATTAGTATAGGAATACTTGCCCATGATAATTAATACATTACAAAAACATTGTAAAAATAAAAAATTAGGCTAAAAAGAAAGTCATCCCACACGTCTACTTCTATCATCGCTTGGATTACAGCATCACGCGCCTTCTTTTTGAACGTGATTTTCTCCAATGAGGGGGAGGATGGGGCGGAACATTTCAAGTAGATGTAACTGCAGACCGGAGATCTCCAAAATGGGGCGTAAACTCCAAAAGTGGGCAGAACCACAAAAATGGGGCGGGGTCTCCTCGTGCAAAGACTTTCACTATTGGCTCTGGCTCCAGCCAATTGTTATTGACTTACATTTCAAAATAAAACTTTATAAATTAAACAGTGTTTCTAGTTCATCTAAAATAAAATATGCTATATAAATAAATATTCTCCGTGAGAGCAGAGCCCAAAGCTCGTGGCCAGTGGTGTTCGGACTGGAGTTTGAACCTCTGCTTAATGATATAAACGCAAATTACCCACGAGCCGTTTCAGCACAGCACAGCGCAGGGGAAAGATTTTACTCATCGATTTGTTCTAATCAACAAGGGTGTCCCGGGGCTCGAAATTCGTAGGGTAGGAGGGGGTAGTGACGCTGGGTGTAACTAAAAAGGTGCCATTGTCCAGTGAGGTCCGGTTGGGGAGTTACGGTACGATCTCATATCGCATAATCTTATTAAATGTTTATCTCCTGAACTGCATCTTTCTTTACCATGCTATTTAGCGCCAATCCCGCCGTGCAGTCAATTTCATTGATTAAGGTTAGGGTCAGGTGTGGGGTAGGTGTTTAGGGGTTAGCATTTTTGTAGCATAGTGTAGGAAATCAACACTTTAATTGACACAACCAATAAAATCTTTAGAATCAGCTGTGGGGTGGAGTTTGCACTGAAGTGGATTGGGGGGGAAAATTGCGCATGCGTGTCGTGCCTGTCTGTCAATGGAAGGAAGCCACGCCCTATTTTGGAGCTCCCACCCCGTTTTGGAGTTCCCGCTCCCCATTTGGAGATTTCCATGCTGCAGTTATACCGTTCTCGAACATTTGGCAAATTAAGCTGCAGTACTTATATTATTGCACTGGTTGGCTATTAACTGTGAGCAGACAGTGTGTCAACCAATGCATTGGAGAATACGGCGAACATAAATAAAGAAACGAAGTTGCTTGTCAGATTCCCCTAACAAGTAACCATATTTTATTAAATAAGCCCAAAAAACCGCAACAGCCGGGATTTTTTTACGCAACTTTACAAAAAAAGCCCAAAGTCGCGTATAATATGCGGACTTGGCAATTATGTTTGTGAGCAGCACTTATTTGATTACAGCTTTTACCGGGGAAACCGCTATATCTCCAGGTCCCAAAGCGCCTCCTGCTGGCAGAGAAATAATTTGCAGTCTGTGGGAAACACTGGTGTCTGTCAGCAAACATAAACATAAAGCATCCTTCAGAACTGTTTTGAGAAGGTGCTTAAGTTTTGAGTCATGTATTATTACTCTAAATTGGGCTACTACTACCATTGCTATCTTGTACCCTGCAATAATCATTTGATCAAACTTACTTTTATGAGATGAATGGGAATTTTTTTTTTAAATCGGCCAAAAAAACCGCCATCATATATCAGCTGCCCTGATTTCTAAATATCGGCATCGGCAGCAGCATCGACCAGTGAAAAACCCATATCGGTCGACCTCTACTGTCAATGTTAGATGTACCATTATTCAGCAAAGATGCATTAAATTCCTAACAAGTAACCATATTTTATTAAATAAGCCCAAAAAACCGCAACACCCGGGATTTTTTTACGCAACTTTACAAAAAAAGCCCAAAGTCGCGTATAATATGCGGACTTGGCAATTATGTTTGTGAGCAGCGCTTATTTGATTACAGCTTTTACCGGGGAAACCGCTATATCTCCAGGTCCCAAAGCGCCTCCTGCTGGCAGAGAAATAATTTGCAGTCTGTGGGAAACACTGGTGTCTGTCAGCAAACATAAACATAAAGCATCCTTCAGAACTGTTTTGAGAAGGTGCTTAAGTTTTGAGTCATGTATTATTACTCTAAATTGGGCTACTACTACCATTGCTATCTTGTACCCTGCAATAATCATTTGATCAAACTTACTTTTATGAGATGAATGGGAATTTTTTTTTTTAAATCGGCCAAAAAAACCGCCATCATATATCAGCTGCCCTGATTTCTAAATATCGGCATCGGCAGCAGCATCGACCAGTGAAAAACCCATATCGGTCGACCTCTACTGTCAATGTTAGATGTACCATTATTCAGCAAAGATGCATTAAATTAATTAAAAGTGATAGTAAAGACATTTATAATGTTGCAAAATATTTCTGTTTCCAATAAACGCCATTCTGTTTATCATAGAAAAACTTAAAAAAACATGCTATCTTGTACCCTGCAATAATCATTTGATCAAACTTACTTTTATGAGATGAATGGGAATTTTTTTTTTAAATCGGCCAAAAAAACCGCCATCATATATCAGCTGCCCTGATTTCTAAATATCGGCATCGGCAGCAGCATCGACCAGTGAAAAACCCATATCGGTCGACCTCTACTGTCAATGTTAGATGTACCATTATTCAGCAAAGATGCATTAAATTAATTAAAAGTGATAGTAAAGACATTTATAATGTTGCAAAATATTTCTGTTTCCAATAAACGCCATTCTGTTTATCATAGAAAAACTTAAAAAAACATTTTCCACAAAAATATTTAACATTGAGAACAATAGTTTAACATTGATAGTAATAAGAAATGCTACTCTGGTACCAAATCAGCCTATTAGAATGATTTCTGAAGGATCATGTGAGTAATGGCTGCTGAAAATTCAACTTTGACATTGAAGGAATAAATTACATTTTAAAATATATTCAAATAGAAATACTTAAATTGTAATATTTAACATGATTACTGTTTTTACTGTATTTTTTCTGTATCTTTCAAAAAGATAACTCTTACCGACTCCAAACTTTTGAACAGTAGTAAATAAATCTAAAGATAAATGTATTTTCAGATTTATTTGTAATGCATTTTTATGATAAAAATCAAATAAATTATTGCATCAAACATATTTAATAAATATTTTGAGTCAGCATGTGAACCTAAAAATAGATTTGGTAAAATTGTTTACTTTTTTTCAATTTTTCCGTGGACCCTTAACTCTCCCTTGCGGCCCTCTGAGCCCATTTTGAAAAACCTTTGTCCTGGAGTCACACTGGAAAATTTCAGTTTGCTGCATGACAAATGGAAGAACAAGAGATCATTTCCTAACCAGCTTTTTTTTCTGTAATTGTCCCACAGTGGTCTCATTGTCCCTGAAGTGAAAGGGAACGAGACTGTCCCTGAAGTGGAGACCAACTCAGGCTACGCACTTCTGCACTTTTTTAGCGACGCTGCCTACAACCTGACAGGATTTGAAATCTTCTACTCGTGAGTTAATGACACTTAGCATCAGCACTATTTTCAATGAAAAAAGCCTGCTGGTTCGGCCAGGTGTTAATACAACATGTAATCACAAAGAGGTCTTAATTTTATCTCCTCTGTGCATGTTTTATTTTATTATTGCATGGCTTAGTCCTGTTCATTATACCCTCCCCCATTTCAGGCTTCTCTGTAGAAAGTTCCCCTTGTTTTCTTTTTACAATCTTTTTCTTGATCTCTCCCTCGACAGAATCAACTCATGCCCAAATAACTGCTCTGGCCACGGGAAGTGCACCTCGGGGAACTCGATAGCGAGCCGTGTATATTGTGAATGCGATAAGTACTGGAAGGGTGAGGCCTGTGACATCCCGTACTGCAGGAACAACTGTGGCAGCCCCGATCACGGCTACTGCGACCTCACCGGGGAAAAGCTCTGCGTGTGCAATGACAGCTGGCAAGGTACTATTCACTGCCTCTTTCATTTCCTCCCCTTTCCTGTATTTTACAGGATGCTGTGAAAATCAGAGACCTTTCGAGTTTCGTGTTTCCAGCAGAGCATTGTGTCTCAGGTAGATTTGTTGTCATGTGGGTTGTGTCCCCCTGGTGTTGATTCTCTAATAGTGCATCTGTCTCCTCTGCATCACTGCAGCATCCTCATCAGACACTGCCACAGTGTCATAAAGCATCAAAGCACAATTAAGCCTGATGGAGGATTGACATCAGGGTGTCTTGAGGTTAATTTAATGAGTCTTTCTGGCCAGCTTCTCACTAACCCTCATGTGAGGAGACACAGGGAAAAAAGTGTGATTGGTCATAGTAAGAAGCTGTCAGAACCACCCTGTTTAAGTGATCTGTTCATAAATAGTAAAATATAATGAGACAGATGTTACCTTAGATCAGGGTTTTAAGGGGTTTACACTGTCGGACAAAAGGTTGGAATAATTACGAATTTTAAATATTTTTAAATATGTCTCTCATGTTCACCGAGGCTGCATTTACTTGATCAAAAATACAGTAAAAACAGTAATATTGTAAACATATTAGTATGATTTCTGTAGAATCATGTGACACTGATAACTGAAAATTCAGTAATACCATCCGTGGAACATTTGAAAATATATTCCAGTAGAAAACATTTATTTTAAATTGTAATATTATTTCACAATATTATGTATTTTACTGTGTAAACTACATAATGAACATGTTCTTTCAGAAACATAAATTTTTTTTAATTATTCCTGACTTTTGGCCTCCAGTGTACTTTATTTACAGATTCGCATAATTTCCAGCATTGCATAAACTAATAGCAGGTTCATCACAAAAAAATTAAGGATTTGAAATGTTAGAGCTTGTCAGTTTGAAAGTAAAGAATTTAAGACATGAGCATTATTGTTGTAGCGTGTAATGTAAAATAAAATTACTTTAATCAAATATTCATTTTTATTTCATATGTACTGTACTGTACATTGTGCATTTTATTCATGTTTTTATTGATATTGATATTATTTTTTATGACCATTCAGTTTTATAGTCAAAACAAAACATTCCATTTTATCTGCTTGTATGTCATGTGACCATTAATCAATATTAGTGAACCATAATAAACATAAGAATATGTTGTTAAATTATAGAAATATTAACTCAAAAATCTTAGGGGTATTTCAAGTAAATATTTTATGTCAAACAAAAATGGTTGGGAGCCCCTGCCTTAGACTATTGTACAAGAGATTTACCCCCCCCCCCCCCTCTCACTCTCTCTCTCTCTCTCTCTCTCTCTCTCTCTCTCGCGCACACCCACAAACACACACCCTATGCGCAAAAC